AAACGTCCACATCCTCGAAAATTGCGACTCCTATATGGACAACGCAATGTCCCACATGCTTTCACGAAGGTGAGGAGCTGCTTTTGACAACAGATGGTCATTGACAACATCTGCAGTAAATCAGCTTGGGAAGGGTTACCTGTAACTGACCTAAATGTTTTAAATAAATCTGCTTATTAGCAAGCACTTCTAATGTCAAAACGTCTCCGTAACGTTACTACACATTTAGGAGCAAGGTGACTTGACTAGGCTAGCTTTAATAAGCCACAGGGGGAGGGGTGAAGCTAACGAAATAGGTCGCACAAATCGATAAAAGGTGCATTTCAGTGTTTATATCACAAGTGGGAAAAATTCGGGCTGTCGGAAAATATTTTTGGGTAAAGAGCTTTAAATAAATAAAATCAACTGTTGCGTGGGAATATAGATCTATAAGCTCTGTTTTGTGAGACAATTACAAATAACGGAGCGCAAATACGTCCTTTAGTCTAGCTGTGACGGCTTGGCAATGGGATGAAGGGGGCTTGACACATATGTTTGCTGATTTCCGTCTTATTTGACTGTATCTTTCTGCGTGTACTCTTCCAGTCGACGCATTTGTGCGATAGGAGTCTGTTTAGTATTTTTCTGGACTGTGAATAACTATGAAGTAAAAGGTATCATCACCTAAACAAGATGAGCTCAAAAAATCTCGTCTGTGGTTTCAGTTTCCGCTTGACCTACGTAGTCGCCGGTGTAACCGGCACAAAGAATGTGGCAGTTGCCAGCCAACTGTCCATCCGGCTTGTATGGTTGACGACGCAACCAGATGTAGATAAGAGATTAGACCTCCTCGGTCACTTTTTTACGATTTTCTACCGAACCTCACTGATAGATACGACAATCAGTTCGAAAGCTCATATTAATAGTTGTAAAGCACCAGAACCTTTAGAATTAGGCTGGAGATAGATCCCTGTCGGGTGGAATCGGTTAACTGTGATTTGTGGTGGCCTAGGACAGCTAAGGAGGTGCTACAAAAAGATTTGATAGCTGGGCCACGATTAGGGTTAAATACTGGTTCAGTCAGAACAAAAGGAAGTGATGTGGCGAAATTTGGAGGAAGTAGTAGTTTCTGTTTTTGCTACTCATGTCTCTGATGGCGAATCCGCGACAGATATCGAAACGTCAGGCGAATAAACGTATTGTCCCAGCGATCGAGTCTTCTCAGGAAGTAGTAGTGTCAGATCAAATGCGTGCTGCCCAGCAAGCAGCAGTAGTTAAACTCTTTAGGGCTTAAAAGAGGCGTCCTCTCTAAACTACCAAAAGCTTCGCCAAACAAATGGTTTCTTTCGTGGAAGATTCAGCGAAGACTGCCTTTACTTTGAGACTTGAGGGTGTCTTCGGGTGCTAACTGCAACAACCGATTATCCTGTCAAAAGATCTTAAGATTTCAAGTGAGTGCAGATTTTGCATGAACCAATAAGGCGAAATGAGGATATCGGACTGGTGGGGCAGTGAAGGACAACTAAGATAGTAAGGGAGCTAAAGCAAGTTGATTAACAAATTGTATCTTAAAACTGAATTTGCAAGCAGGTCTCTCAGACTATGTTTTTTTTTATAAATCTGTAATTTATGTTTAGTATAGCTTGGAAGAAAGTGTCTGCTGTATACCGGCCTACGCTTAAGGTAGGACGGAACTGATGTCTCGGATTTACTTTCTTGTACCCGTCAAGGCCCTCGCATAGCAACTAACAGCCACTTATCGGTTGAAGCCAGGACAGCTTGACTGTCCGTTCTTGACCACGGGCAACGAAATGTGGATTCGCAGTCCAATTTAAACTTTAAGACAAACTCCAAATGCGAACGCTGAGATAGTTAGGTGAATCACACAACCTAAGGTATGCATGCTGGGCATCGGCGATTACTGTCAACGCAAACGAATCGAAATACATAGCTTTCCTATGAAGATTTGTGATAGCAATTGGCAACTTGGTCTGCATCCACTTCGGCTTCAAAGTTACGCACAGATAATCGTTCATATTTTGAGCGCAGATAGCACAGGTTTCGTAGAACTATTGGTAAGACTGGTTAGTCTGCCTACACGAACATTGCAGATTAAGAAGGTTCATCTACCGAGAATAGTTATAAGAAATTTACACATAAAATTGAAATAATCTATAAATACAGAGACTTACACGAAAGCATGCAGGTTTGGTTTATTAAATTGTCATCGGTGTCCTTCAAGAGCATCGTCCATTCCCCAAGAAAGTGCTGTTCTGTGAAGAGGTGGTGTTAGAAGCATCTGGGAGACTTACTTGGTGTTTCCAAAACAAGAGTAACCACGATCTTGGCGTCAGTTTCGTTAAGGAGATAATGAACAGGCGGACGACCATCCATATCCACATCGATCGGTCCATCATTAAGACGCCATTTTATTTTTTTAATCTGGTACGGTTGGGTAATCAGTCAAACATTTATGTTACCTCTCGCGGCCCGGATACGACAAATGTCATATTAATGGGTGTTTTGCTGTCAACCACTTTCTTTTCAAAGGTGACCTGTCCTATTTTTTCCATGCGTCTTATCAAAGTGACTTTAGGATTTAGAAGGCAGGTGCCTGAAGGAAAAAACAATTAAAAAAGGAGTTGTTATTTGACAATGTCCCGTCTATTTCAACTGTCAGGGATAAGTGTAAGCTAGGTGCGCAATACTCTGTTGAAGCGGGTGGCACTACCAGTAAAAGGTATCTAACATATGCAAACAATAATCTCCCTAACGAGTAACGCATATCCTCTTGGAGTGGTTACTGTTCTTATCGACAACTGGTGTATATGTACTGTTTGGCAGATTACATTTCATTGGCAGCTCCCAACCTGTTTTCAAGACGGGGAAAACAGAAAGCCCGCACTGTACCCAGACATGCCTACGAGTGGCGGCTACTTAAAACCCTCTCGAGGTTGTTTGGCGCTAATAGAAGAAATTTTGCTAATAATGACACGCAAGAGGTCAGTGACGCATGCCTCGTACGGATTATGGCCTCCAGTTAAATTCTGCGAACAATTAATCCCATTTTTGTACTGCGGGCACAAAAATACGGATTTGTGACACTACATGCACGAGAGAAAAATGAGTCAACACCAAATATAAACGGATTGATGCTGATTGCTACAGCTGAAGCTGCCACTCGTGTCATTACCTGATATGACGCCCGTCAGGTTAGAATGAACGAAACTATCTTGACTGTTCACCAAAGAAATTTAAATGGATTGACCTCACAAGCAAATAAAGACTGGAGGTCAGCTGTTGTCGTAGTCATATAGTAGCACTGGTTGATAGTCTTGAGATAGTCACCTAGCTATTCTTACACGATCATTAGTTGATTCTATGCTTCTTGTCTGTCAAATGGCATCGAGAGTGTATAGTTTGCGAAAGAGCCTCTGGACAGGGGCAAATTTTAACCGCTAAACATGCTAAGATATCTGCTATTGTCATATATTAATAACAACTGTTGCCCCAAACTCGCCACCGTCGCGGACCCGGGGGAAACTGTAGGGAGCGGCTGTATCAGCTATTTAAATCGCCGTAGCTGTTCAAAACTGGAGCCTCGTTCAACTGCTCCCTAGTCGCTAGTTTTATTATCAGGGTATTTGACCTCGGACTAATTAAAGGTATCTCTTATTAGAACACAAGTCTAATCAGGTTCAAGTTTTCCTGAATTTGTTGCATCTATGCTTACAGGAGGGCGTTTGCTTTCCACTCTAATTTGTGTACGGAATGCTTAACTGTCGAGAATCTCGTAACAACAGAGTTTACCAAACCTCAAGGTCTGATCAGACTTGAGTGTGAAACTTTGGAATGTTAGGGCGATAAAATCGAGCA